TTGGGTTTGCAGGGCCCGGGAGGGACAGGCAGCAGGAAACGGCCCCAGCTGCTCCGGGGCAAGTTTCATTTGGGGATTCATGAACAATTTCCTCAGCCAGAGCGGGGAGCAGCCCTGGCACACCTGCAGGGGTTTAGGACAGATTTTGGGGGTGGCCCTGGGGACGGGTTTTAGGACAGGTTTTAGGGGTGGCCCTGGGGACAGAGAGGTTTTGGGGGTGGCATTATGGACAGACAGGTTTTAGGACAGGTTTTAGGGGTGGCATTAGGGACAGACGGGTTTTAAGACAGGTTTTAGGGGTGGCCCTGGGAACAGACAGGTTTTAGGGGTGGCCCTGGCAGTGCTGGGGGCACAGTTGGGTTTTTAAGTCTTTTTAAACCTCGGTGATTCTGTGATCCCACCCTCAGCTGCCTCTGAGGGGAACTTTCAGCAGCAAAGAAAGCAAAGAGAGAGGAAAGCCAGGGGAGTCAGGGATCTTCTCCTACCACCAAACACCCCAAAACCCCTCTAAACTCAATCCTGACTTATCCCCTGCTCTGGGAGCTGCAAAGCAATCCCACAAACACCCCAACCCCTCTAAACTCAATCTGACTTATCCCCCGCTCTGGGAGCTGCAGAGGAATCATAGAAACACCCCAAAACCCCAGTCCTGATTTATCCCCCACTCTGGGAGCTGCAGAACAACCCCACAAACACCCCAAAACCCCAATCCTGACTTATCCCCTGCTCTGGGAGCTGCAGAACAACCCCACAAACACCCCAAAACCCCAATCCTGATTTCTCCCCTGCTCTGGGACCTGCAGAGCAACCCCACAAACACCCCAAAACCCCAATCCTGATTTCTCCCCTGCTCTGGGATTCCTCCCAGAGCCCCTCCCGTGCCAGGGCAGCATCCAGCACCCGCTGGGAGCTGGAACCCAGCCCCGGCCGCCCCTGTGCTCCTCCCCGCAGGTTTGCAGAAGGGATTTTGGAGCCCCTCCCTCGCTCTGTTTGCATTGCCCAGGGCACGGAGCTGGCCCGGGAACGCTCCGAGCCCTGCAGTGCAAACACTGCCCAAGGAGGGAGAGAGGGCAAAGGGATGGCTGGGACAGGAGCTGTCCCCTTGTGCCCGGAGCGGGGAGCCAGCAGTGCCCAGAAATGTGCCCAGAAATGTGCCCAGAAATGTGCCCAGAAATGTGCCCAGAAAGTTCCCCAGATGCCCAGCAGTGCCCCAGAAATGTGACCAGAAATGTGCACAGCAGTGCCCCAGAAAAGTGCCAGGAATTTTGCCCAGAATTGTGCCCAGAAACGTGCCCAGCAGTGCCCAGAAACGTGCCCAGAAATGTGCCCCAGAAACCTGCCCACCCCACCCCATGGATCCCACCCCACGGATCCCATCCCATCCTATTCCATCCCTTCCCATGGATCCCACCCCACCCCATGGATCTCCATGGCTCCCACCCCATGGATCCCATCTCACCCCATCTCATCCCTTCCCATGGATCCCACCCCACACTATGGATCCCATCCCATCCTATGGATCCCATTCCATCCCATGGATCCCATCCCATCCCATGGATCCCATCCCATGGATCCCATCCCATTTCATGGATCCCATCCTATCCCATTCCATCCCATGGATCCCACCCCATTCCTTTTCACCCATGGATCCCATCCCATGGATCCCACCCCACACTAGAGATCCCATCCCACCCCATGGATCCCATCCCACCCCATGGATCTCCATGGATCCCATCTCATGGATCCCACCCCGGAATTTCTGGGATTGCCTCGTTCCCTGCTCCCAGCACAAAAAAATCCGGGAAAAGCACCAAAAAATCCGGGAAAAGGAGCCCCAGGAGGAGCCAGGCTGGCACCTGAGAATCATAAACATAAAATTATAATGACAAAAATATAATCATAGACATTATAAATATAAGCTATAAATATAAAATAGAAATAGAGTGACCTGCAGCGGTGCCGGCTCAGGTCAGCCCCACTCTCACCGACCCTTAAACCCCGCCCCAAACCCGGCCAGCTGCCCCCGTTTGCTTTGCTTTTGTTTTCTCACAGCCCGGGGCGTTTGCAGTGAGTTAATTCGGGATTAAATCAAACCCGGGATTAAATCAATTCGCAGCAGCCGCGGCGCCTGCAAGAACAGCCCTCACACCCAACTTCCCGGCAGCTGACACACTGCTATTCGCTCAGCACGCCAAAAGCCCTCACACAGCATTGTTTATCCCAAAAAGGCGATATTTACTGAGCAAAAATAAAAAATATTTATTGCAACTGCGGCGGTGAGGCGGGCGCTTCAATCCGGTTGTACGACAGCGCGGCGCCTCGCTTTGCGGCGGTGCTGTAGTCCCGCTGTGCGACATTCGCTTTGCGGCTGTCTGTAGTCCCGCGCGCTTTGCGGCTGTCTGTAGTCCGCTGTGCGACGCTCGCTTGGCGGCAGTGCCGCGGTCCCGCGCGCTTTGCGGCAGCCATGGCGGCGCAGTTCAGCACGGCGCTGCAGCTGACGGAGCTGGACGATTTCATCGCCCCCGCGCAGGTGACGGCGCCGGGACCCTCCGGAGCGGCCCTGAGGGGATGTTCCTGTCCCTGAGAGGATGTTCCCGTCCCTGAGGGGATGTTCCTGTCCCCGAGAGGAGTTCCCGGCTTGAGGGGATGTTCCCTCCCCGGGGAGATGTTTCCGTCCTTGAGGGGATGTTCCCGTCCCTGAGGGGATGTTCCCGGCTTGAGGGGATGTTCCTGACCCTGAGGGGATATTCCCGTCCCTGAGGGGATGTTGCCGGCTCTGAGGGGAGGTTCAGGCAGAAAGGGACCTGGGGGTGCTGGACAGGAGGCTGAACACGAGCCAGCAGTGTGCCTCGGTGGCCAAGAGGCCGATGGCCCCTGGCCTGGCTCAGGAATGGTGTGGCCAGCAGGAGCAGGGAGCTCATTCTGCCCCTGGGCACACCTCGAGGGCTGTGCCCAGCTCTGGCCCCTCCGTTTGGGAAGAACATGGAGATGCTTGAGGAGGCAACGAGGCTGGAGAAGGGCTGGGAGCACAAACCCTGTGAGGAGCTGGGCTAGTTCAGCCTGTTCACCTCTGTGAGGAGCATTTGAAGGAGCTGGGGTTGTTCAGCCTGGAGAAGAAAAGGTTCAGAGGTGCCCTCGTTGCTCTCCACAGCTACTGAAGGGAGGTTCAGGCAGGTGGGGTCGGTCTCTTCCACCTGCAGCACTGACAGAACAGGAGGACACAGCCTCAGCTACGGCAGGGAAGGTTTAGGTCAGATATCAGGAAAAAATGTTTCACTAAAAGAATAATAAAATACTGGAATTGTCTTCCCAGGGAGGTGGTGGAATCACCGTCTCTGGATGTGTTTAAAAAAAGACTGGACATGGCACTCGGTGATGACACTGGAGTATTTTTTATTTTTCCTGCTGGTCCCTGGGATGACACTGGAATATTTTTTTTTTCCTGCTGTTCCCACTGCTCAGCATCCAGAGCTGCTGGTCGAGCCCCTGATTTATTTATTCTTTATTCAACCTCCTATATTTATTTTTATTCAATCCCCAAAATTTATTTTTTATTAAATCCCCAATATTTCTTTTTTTATTCAGTCCCCATCATTATTGTTTATTCAATCCCCTATCATTATTTATTTTTTATTCAATCCCCAATATTTACTTTTTATTCAACCCCCATATTTATTTTTTACTCAACTGCCAATATTTATTTTCTAGTTAATCCCCTATATTTATTTTTATTGAATCCCCAATATTTATTTTTTATCCAATCCCCAATATTTATTTTTATTCAATCCCCAATATTTATTTTTATTCAATCCTCATATTTATTTTTTATTCAACCCCAATATTTGTTTTTTATTCAAAACCCCATCTTTATTTTTGATTCAACCCCAATATTTATTTTTTATTCAACCCCCTGTCTTTATTTTTTATTGAATCCCCAATATTGTTTTAATTCAATCCCCAATATTTATTTTTTATTTACTCTCCTATATTTATTTTTTATTCTACACCCAATATTTATTTTTTATTCAGTCCCCTCTTCCTTGCTCAGCTCCTGAGTCCAGCTCTGCTGCTCTTTCAGGAGTGCATCAAACCTGTGAAAGTGCAGAAAAACCCAGCAAAAGCAGCAGCCAGGATCAGGATCGAGCCTGATGGAAGCTACTTCCAGGTTAACCAGGTACCCAGTGGAAAAGAAACAGAAAAATGAGTGTATTTTAATTATTTTCATTATCTACATCCACTTTGAGGCATTACCTCAAAGAGATGCTGTCAGCCTTGGGGTTTTTTTTTTTGGTTTTAATTTATAATCAATAATTCCAATTTTGTGCCACTTTTATTCTCTGAAGCATGGCGTTAATTACTGATTATTACAATAAGAGCAGATAAGGTGAGATTGTATAAAACTTGAATTAATCAGCATTTTAATTTATAAATACTATTTTTAAGCAGTCATTTTATAATTAGTAATTCTAACTTATTCCAGTTTTTTATGCTCTGAAACCCTGCTATTAATTGGTGATGGTTTTCATAAGAGAGCAGATAAGGTGAAAAGTTTATTTATTTTATTTATTTTATCAACATTTAAAGATTGGCAATTCCAGGTTGGTTGTGACAACGTCCTGGTGCTCCCTCAGAGAATTAACCAAGATATTTTTAATAAATCGTGCTGGATTTTTAAAAAATAATATTTTAAATTATTTATTTAAAAGCTTGAAGAATTCAGAAGCTTCCAAAATGCACGTTAATTTTTTTCTGTTTTCACAAAAAAAAGGGTGGCATTGTTCAGTTCGCCAGGTTGGGAATTCCTTTAGGAATGGAAATTGGAATTTTAGGCTGATTTTGATTTTAAAAAAGAAGGACAAAAAGGAGGCTGGTTCTTTATTTTAAAATGTTAATAGTGCCTCATTTCCTGGTCTATTCCTGGCTTTTTTTAGAGGAGAATCTCTTGAAAAAATCAAATTATTCAGGGCAGATAGAAGGGAAAAAATTTCCTTCCAGTGTCTGGGATGAAATCCCTCAACAAATCCCCTTTGCTGTGCCAAATAATCCCATTAAAAGCAGTAGCTCCAGGTGCTTTTGTCCTCATCACCTTAAAAATAAAGAGATTTTTAAAAATTATAAACCAACAGCATCAAAAGAGTAATAATCACTATTATGGTAACAAAGTGGGGAAATTGCTCCTTAAATTCTGGGCTCAGAACTGAGCCTGCTCTGGGCTTTTTTGGGGTTTTTTTGGTGGGTTTTTTTGTATTGTTTTGGGGTTCTTTGGGTTTGTTTTTTGTTTGGTTGTTTTTTTGGGTTTTTGTGGGTTTTGTTTGTTTGTTTTTGTGTTTTTTTTTGTAGGATGGGGAAGCAGAAAAGCTGGAGAAAGCCAAAATCACCCTGAACGATTGCCTGGCCTGCAGTGGCTGCATCACCTCGGCTGAGACTGTCCTGGTCAGGCAGCAGAGCCACGGGGAGCTCTGCAAGGTGCTAGCCCTCAACAAGGTGGGAGCCTGAATCCCTGCAGGAAATCTGGGAAAATCTGGGAAAATCAGGGAAAATCGGAATTCCTGAGCCCTGGGCTCTTCCTGCTTCACCCCTGGCCTTTATTCTCATTTTGAAGGGCTTTATTCTCATTTTTAAGGGGTTTATTCTCATTTTTAAGGGCTTTATTCACATTTTTAAAAGCTTTATTCTCATTTTTAAAAGCTTTGGTGTGAATTCTTCCTTGGGGGATGAAGGTGAGGAGCTCTGTGCTGCTGCCAGCTCTGCCTGTGCCACATTTTGGGATTTTTTGGGGTTTTTTTTCCCAGGCTGCCTGTGCCACATTTTGGGATATTTTGGGTTTTTTTCCAGGTTGGGATTGTTTGGTTTTTTTCCCAGGCTTCCTTTGGGATTTTTTGGTTTTGTTTTTTTTTCCAAGCTGCCTGTACCACATTTTGGGATTGTTTGGGTTTTTTTCCAGGTTGGGATTGTTTGGTTATTTTCCCAAGCTGCCTGTGCCACATTTTGGGATTTTTTGGGGGTTTTTTTCCCAGGCTGCCTGTACCACATTTTGGGATTGTTTAGTTTTTTTCCCAGGCTGCCTGTGCCACATTTTGGAATTATTTGGTTTTTTTTCCAGGCTGCTGCTGCCCACGAGCAGAAGCTGGTGGTGGTTTCTGTCTCCCCTCAATCCAGAGCCTCCCTGGCTGCAAGGTGCAAACTGGGGCTGCTGGAGACAGCCCAGAAGCTGACCACCTTCCTCAAGGGTTTGGGCAAGTTTGGGGCTTTCTGCTCAAATTAAAGGGATTTATTTAACCCCCGGGGGAATTCCAGACTGTCCAAAAATGCAGTCCCACAATGAGCTTGGAGAAAGGAGGGTGAGGGGTTTTTTATAAGGGCAGATGGTGACAGGACAAGGGAAAGGTGCCAGAGGGCAGGGTCAGATGCTGGGCAGCAATTCCTGCCTGGCAGGGTGGGCAGCCCTGGCACAGATTCCCAGAGAACCTCTGGCTGCCCCTGGATCCCTGGAAGTGCCCAGGACCAGGCTGGCTCACCCTGGGATAGTGGGAAATACCAAAACTGGCTGAGTTTTGAGGTCCTTTCCAACCCAAACCATTCCATCCCTCTATAAAACCTCTAAAGAACCACTGAAAAGAACTTGTACATTTTACATTTCCACCTCTCCTGTGAATTTTCCTCCTCTTCCCATCCCAAAAAATGTCTCAGTGGGCTCAGCACCCGTGCCTGGGTTTGCCTGTGGTGGAAGTGGGAGGATTTTTGCTGTGTTTTGCTGCATCCTGAGGGTTCTCACCCAGCTGCTGCCCTGCCCAGGTGTGCACCACGTGTTTGACACGACCTTCTCCAGGAACTTCAGCCTCCTGGAGAGCCAGCAGGAGTTTGTCAGACGCTTCCACAGACAAGCAGAGGACAAAACAGCCCTGCCCATGCTGGCCTCTGCCTGCCCAGGTATGGCTTCAGTTCCAGCTGCAATCCCAAATCCAGCAGCTGCTCAGAAAGCTGCAAATGTTTGTTCCTACCTGCAGGATTGTTCTCCTCACAGCACAGATTTTCATGCTAAAGCAGTGGTGAGACACCTTAAAAATCACTCTGGACTTGCACTTGTTTCCTTTTTAGGCTGAACATGGTTATTAAACCTGGGGTTTGGGGAGAATGGGCAGAGTGAATGTCTGCTGCTTATTTTTTAATTGAATTTGTGGGTGATGTTCCTTCCAGGTTGGATCTGCTACGCAGAGAAAACCCACGGCAGCTTCATCATCCCCCACATCAGCACCACCAAATCCCCCCAGCAGGTCATGGGCTCCCTGGTCAAGGGCTACTTTGCAGAGCAGCAGGTAAAGCTCTAAAAATGCTCTTCTTGCTGCAAAACTCCTCCAATTCAACACTTCAGGCTGATTTTTTATCAATTTGCCATGTGTAACACACATTTAAGGGTCAATATTGCCTTGGAGAAAGCAGAAATCTTCCTCACATCTGTCTTAGCTAATGAATAGTAATTAGGGAAGAGCACTGAGCATGGGCTAAATAAATTAAACCCTCTGAATTATTTGGGAAAGCTGAGGAACCTTATTTTCATTGTCTTTGTGCTCCTGTTGTTTCAATTGGTGAATAATTTCAAATAAGTGACCCAAGCTGAGTTTGCAGTGGGTACGGAGATCATGGATTCTCCAAAAATGATCCCTCATTCCCAGCTTGCTTCTGTGACCTCTGGGAAGGTTCCAGGTGGGAGCTGGAAATCCCCACAGAGCCTGGACTGGGCCAGGAAGGGGCTGCAGCACCCACTGGCATTTCTGGCTGTGACACTTGCATGAGGCAGCTGCAGATTTGAGACAAAATTTGGCAAATTTCTGGGGATATTTGGCACTGGAATATGGGGCCCAGGGTCAGTGAGCTGTTGGCTCAGCCTGTGTTTGTTGCTTGGATGATCCTGAGGTTTTTGTGGGACTCCAGATCATGTCCTGAGGGGCTGAGCTTTGGGAGCAGGGAGGAATTTTATTCCCTAATGCTTTAATTAGGGATTGGCTTCTCTGCTGACCTTGGATCATTGCACCAGAGTGAGGGAAACTTCCAGGAGCTGAAGGCAGCCTGAGGAAAGATGGAAAGATGTTATTCCCAAAGGCCTGGAGTGCCAGGACACAAAGAATGGCTGCCCACTGCCAGAGGGCAGGGTTGGATGGGTGTTGGGAAGGAATTCCTGGCTGGGATGGAATTCCCAGAGCAGCTCCATGCCCCTAGAGCCCTGGCAGTGCCCAAGGACAGCCTGGAGCAGCCTGGGACAGTGGGAGGTGTTGGGGTTGGGCTGGATGGGCTTTAAGGTCCCTCCCAACCCAAACCATTCCAGGATTCCACAAAACCTGTGAAGGTTTCCATGTCTGCTGACACTGACTGAGCTGAAATTGGCTTCTAGGACAGAAATCATTTCATTCACTCAGAAATATTTAAATGCACAAATACTCAGCCGTAGTGGGGCACAGTGGCATTATTTCCCCCACTCCCCTTTGTCCCTGGAATGCACTCCTCCCAAAATCAGGGGGATTTTGGCTGCCCCAGCCTTGTCTCCCTTGCAGCACCTGCCCCCTGACAGGATCTACCACGTCACTGTCATGCCCTGTTATGACAAAAAGCTGGAGGCCTCCAGGCCAGACTTTTTCAACCAGGAATACCAGACCAGGGATGTGGATTGTGTCATCACCACAGGTAAGCAGAGCCACAGGAGACTCCCAATTCCAGCAAACTCTCCCTGGCTTTAATAACCCTTTGTCTCTGACAGAGGTTGGATATTGATCTACATTTACATTTAATCGTGCAAATCATGCCCTGGTGAAATGCTGGTGCAGTTTTGGGACTGCTCTGTCGGGTTTGTTTCCCTTTTTCCCAAAACTTAAGAACTCTTTGTGCCTTGTTCTGCCCTAGGAGAAGTGCTGAAGCTGCTGGAGGAAGAAGGAGTGTCCCTGTCTGATTTAGATCCTGCTCCTCTGGACACCATGTAAGAGTAAAATCCCATTTCAGTTATCTTCCCTTTCCTCCAGGAATTAGGGAGTTCAGAATTCTCTTTACTCCAGGATTTAAGGAGCTCAGAATTCCCCTTTCCTTGTTCTCTTTACTCCAGGATTTAGGGAGTTCAGAATTCTGTTTATTCCAGGATTTAAGGAGCTCAGAATTCCCTTCTCCCTGTTCTCTTTCCTCCAATAATTAGGAAGTTCAGAATTTCCCTGTTCCTTTTCCTCTAGGATTTAGAGAGTTCATAATTTTCTTTCCTCCAGGATTTAGGGAGTTCAGAATTCCCCTTTCCTTGTTCTCTTTCCTCCAGGATTTAGGGAGTTCAGAATTCTCTTTCCTCCAGGATTTAGGGAATTCAGAATTCCCTTTTCCCTGTTCCTTTTCCTCCAGGATTTAGGGTGTTTAGAATTCTCTTTACTCCAGGATTTAGGAAATTCAGAATTCCATTTTCCCTGTTCCTTTTCTTCCAGGATTTAGGGAGTTCAGAATTCCCCTTTTCCTGCTGTTTTACACAAGGGTGTTTACCCTTGGTTTGGTTTCTTGTGTCACTTGAACCAGAACAACTGGGAGTTAAAACAAACATTTAATGTACAGAATGTGTACATTTCCATTGGACAATCACTCCAGCTCCTTTCATCCCACAAAAAGCTGCTGCAGGCTTTGGGAAGGACAAGAATCTCTCCTAAAATTCCTAAAATCTGTGCTAAAAAACCCCTGAAGCAGAAGCTGCTGCTCCTCCTACCAGAACCACTGCAGAGACCCCAGAATTAAAGCAGAAGTGACAAATATTTCGGTCACCCAGTTAATCTTGGTGAAAAATGAAAAATTCAGGGGGTGCCAGGGGCGGGGTGGGAGCACATTCTGGGCTCTGAGGTGAGAGCAGGGCTGGCTCTGCACTGAGCACCCAGAGCTGCAGAGAGGCTCAGCAGCACCTCCCTGAACTATTCATCAATTCATGAGGATTAATTAGACAACCATGGAATGCTTTGGGTGGGAAGGACTTAAAAATCATCCAACCCCAACGCCTTGCAGCGTCCCAGGCTGCTCCGAGCCCCATCCAGCCTGACCTGGGCCACTTCCAGGGCTCCACCCCCATCCCCTGGAGCCATCAGTGGGCAAAGCCGGAGCTCAGGGAAAGCTGCAGTTAGTTTGGGGCACCCCTGGAGCTTTGTGTGACCCCCCAAACCTGAAGCTGCTGCTGCTGTGCCCCCCAGGCTGGGCAGGGCTGCAGAGGAGCTGAGCTGTCACCGAGGAGGAGGCTCGGGGGGGTACCTGGAGCACATCTTCAGACACGCGGCCCGCGAGCTCTTCGGCGTCCACGTGGCCTCCATCCACTACAGACCTCTCAGGTAAGGAGCTGCAAGCTCAGGCTATTCCCAGGAATTCTTCTCCTTGTTCAGGGGTTGAAATTATTGGGGGTTTTTTGAGGGTTTTTGAGGTTTTTTTGGGGGTTTTTTGCAATGTTAAACTTCACTCCAATCTGAGAATCGGCTGCTCTCTCCCCAGCTGCTCAGCAATAAATCAGCCAATTCCATGCAGGCAGGAAGAATTCCAGGGAGAATTCCAAGGACAGTTCAGGGGAAAATTCCAGCCCCTTCCCCCGCCACACCCTGGAGTTTGGCCTGGTGGATTCTCCCACTGATAACTTTTAGAATAATTATACAACTTTAGGGTAATTGAGAAGGCAGAGCTCTCGTGGAGCTGGGATTCCTCACCTCAGGGAGATTTGTCACTGGTTACTGACCCCAAAAAAACTTGTGGGAAGGCTTTGGGGCTCTGTTTAACTGGAGTGAAACAGAAAATAAATCACCTGAGTTTGGGCATTGAGGCTCATCCACCTGAGATTCCTTCTGGCTTCCCAATTCTAATTTAATAAATCCTTTGGAATTAATTATACCCCCGATGAGCAGGTTTTATGTTTAGGATTCTCTGGTTTAAGAAGCAGAAAAAGCTGTCTCAAAATCTTGATAAAAATCAAATTACTTACTTTTTTTTATCAGGACCAGGTATTCCAAGTAACCTTAGAAATCTGGAATCCTCAATCAGGGTTTGTTCCCATGTTTGATGACCCAGAAGAAGTCAAAAAATCCCCTCAGGGGCTGAAGGAAGTCAGGTCAGTGAGGGAAAGCTCCCTGTGCTGAGCTTTTCAGGCTTTATCCAGCACTGATGTCCTTCAGCAAACTCTGCTCAGGTGGCTCCAGCAATCCTGGAAGGTTCTGGAAGGAATTCCTTCCTGTTTTCCTTGGAAGGCACAGAACTGGGACAGCTTCAGTGAGACTCACAGAGCGTTTGGGTTTTGAAGTTGAAAACAGAAACTCATTTGGAGAAGCCACTTGCTGTGCTCTGCTCCCTCAGGAACAAGGACTTCCAGGAGGTGACCCTGGAGAGGGATGGAGAGGTCCTGCTCCAGTTTGCCCTGGCCTATGGATTCAGGAACATCCAGAACCTGGTGCAGAAGCTGAAGCGAGGGAAGTGCCCCTATCACTACGTGGAGGTGATGGCCTGTCCCTCAGGTGAGGCTGCTCTCCAACCCACACAGGAGAAACGGGAGATTTCTCCCCAACTTGGGCTGTGGCAGCACACCATCACAGCTGTGTGGGGATTTTCCTACCTCTGAGCCAGGAATTCCTCAGGATTTAAAGAATTGCAGCTGAATTCCATCATAGAACACTTGCATCATTAATTCATTAATTAATTAATTGTTTTTAAGGAGGATTTCCTGAGCTCTGGTAGCTGAGGGGATTTTCCCCCTGAAATTGCCCAAACCTGACTATCACACTTAGAGAAAATGCTGCTGTGCCTGGAGAAAGTCACTTCCTTAAAACCTGGTTCCATTTTCCTCTTCCTGGAACAGAAGAGGAGGCAGAGAGCAGGGGAGCAGGGGCAGCCTGAGCCCCCTGAGGGAGCTGCTCCTTCCCAAGGATCCACAGAGCTCTGGCAGCTCCCAGAGCACGTCCCAGGCACTTTTCCCTTTCCTCCAGCTGGGCCTGCAAGGCTGGGCTGACCTGAGCTGGGCTGATCTGGGCTGGGCTGATCTGGGCTGGGCTGGGCTCTGGTTCTGTTCTGGGGGCAGGAGATAAGAGCTGGAGCCAGCCCAGCATCTCCCTGCCCTGTGCCCTGCTGCTGGCAGATAACTGGGACTGAGCCTCCATCCCTGAGGTGTTTTCATTCCTGCAGCTCTTTGCAGGAGCAGGATCAATGGGCTGGAAGTTCTGAGGATGTTTTCCCAGCTGAACTGCTTCGTCCTTTATTTTGTTTTTCCTCTCAGGCTGTCTGAATGGAGGAGGGCAGATCAAACTGGAGGGGGAATCCAGCAAGGAGGAGCTGCAGCAGGTGGAGAGGTTGTATGAATCCCTGAGGGCTGAGATTCCAGAGGAAAACCAGGCTGTGAGGGAGCTCTACGAGCACTGGCTGGGGGGCTGGGGCTCGGACAGGGCTCTGCAGGTGCTGCACACACAGTACCACGCCGTGGAGAGAGCCAGCTCTGCCCTCAGCATCAAGTGGTGAGACCTCAGTGCCTTCTGAACTCACATCCTGCAAGGATTCCCTGCAATTCCTGCCTCTGGGAATGTGCCTGGCACCGCTCACTCCTCCAGCTGCAGGATGAGGTGATGGGAGTAAACCCAAAGTCGGGCAGGGACACGTCCCAGGCTGATGGGGCAGCCCTGCACTGCTCCAGCAGCCCCATCCCTGCCACAGCTGAGGGGCTGGGGGGTTCAGAGCTCGATGTGCCTCCCCCAGGCCTTGCTGGATCGTCACAGCACTCAGTTCTGTGCCTGGAACAGCCTCATTTTGTCAGAAGTGGTCTCACGAGGCCTGGAGTTCTCCCCTCTCGCTGCCCTGCAGGGTCTGTGCCCTCAGAGGGGGGATCCAAATCCTGGCATCATCCCTGGGGCTGCAGAGGGACTGGAGAGAATGCTGGAAAAACCCCTGTGATTCCTTTTCCTTAAATTATCATAATTTATACCAAGGGCAATTACTTCTCTGTTTTCTTCATAAACCCTCAGCAGGGAGTCACAGAATTGTCACACCTACAGCCACTTACTGAGATAAAATCCCTAAATCCAGACAAAACGGGCACTTACTGCTGGATAACACCCCAAAATTGCCACCAAATAATTCCTGGCCTTGGGGCTGGCAGCAGCCAAAGCCTCCTCTGCACTTTGTTCCAATGAATCCACAGAGCAAATGATGATTCTCATGCTTTTTAATTAAAAGCTTTCCATTTTTCAGCTGTTGCTGACCATTAATGACCTCACAGTGTTCTAAGGCATCAACCTCCCCCTGCTGCCCCTTCCCCTCCTTCCTGAGGAGCAATTTGGTGCTTCCAGTGAATTCCCTTTTCCATGCAGGGATTGGATTAAACCAGGAAAGGGCCAGGGAGAGGCTCCAGGCTGGACTCAGTGCAGAGTCAGCCCAGAAATGCACAAATCAGTGAAGCTGAATTGGCTGGAAATGAAATAATCAGGGCTTTATCCACAGCCTGAATTCCCCAGTTCCCAGGCCACCAACGCACACAGAGGTCCCTGCAGCCACCCTGGGGTCCCTGGCTGCCACCAGAAGAGCTGGAATTTGTCCCAGCTTTGAGGCGTGGGGCAGGCTCGGGGCTGGTTCAGGCACACAGGGGCATCCCTGCTCCCAGGATAAATAAAATTCCAAAGGGGACACCCACAACTCCAGCATTTCATGGAAACTGGGGAATTCAGGCCGTGGATAAAATCCTTCCCCTTCCATGCAAAGTAAATCCAAACTATAACTTAATAAAAGAAAAAAAAAAAGAAAACCTTGGTTTGTAGCACAACAAAAAGCCCCAAACCAGACTCCAGTGGCAACAAAGAAATTCACAGTTCACACATGAAAATCCCTGAAATCAACTCTGTTCCAGTGATCAAACCTTCGTTTTGTCCACAAAATAAACAAAACAAAACAAAAACAAAACAACCAGGGAGTGACTTCACTGGTGTGAAGTGCCTCCCCACAGCTGCAAACAAAACTCTGCTCCTTTCTCAGACTCAAAAGAAAAAATAAGAAAGCACAGCCCTGATTTTGCACAAAGTGAAGGCTGGGGAGGCCTGGGAGCCCCAGCTGCTCCCTGGCTCTGGTCAAGGGAATGTGCACGGAGTTGGCACTGAGTGTTTTACCTTGGAAAAAGCAAAAAGCAAAAAGGGATGCCTGGCAGCACTTTGTTCTTGGCTGCCCAAACTCTGTCCCACCCTGGGAAATCCCTCTGGGGCAAACCCTGACCCCACCTGGGCACCCCACAGGAGCCAAGGGCTCCCCAAGGCAGCGCCTGGGCCACAAATCCCTACAGAAATCCCTGTGGGACCTACTGGAAAAGAGGGAAAAACGAGGGGGGAACCCAGCCAAGCCCTGCTGTGATGAGGGATTTGGCAGCACAGAGCTGGAGTCAGCTGGGTACTGGTGCCACCAGTGCCACCAGCCACACCACACACTCCCCAGGGGCCCGCCAAGGGGCCCAAACCACCACAACCAGCAAAAGGGGCCGAGGGGGCTGGAGCAGGGCCAGGAGGGCTCCCAGCAGTGCCAAAGGCACCAGCACAGCCCTGGGACTGGGATAGGGGCCTGGCAGGGCAGGCTGGCACCCCCTGGGGCACAGCACCACAATCCCTGAGCCTTCCTGCCCTTCCCTGGCACTGAGCCCCAACCTGGGACTGCCCCCAGCCACGTCCTGACCTCTGCCAGCATCCCAAGGGGGGGTCCCACAGCCAAAGGGATCCAGGAGCTCCACGGGGAGCCCCAGGAGCCAGAGGGGAGCAGAGCAGAGCAGCCTTAAAGACAAAACCCAGCTGGGCACAGCCAGGAGGGAGCCCTGGCACCACGGGGGTGTCACTTCTTCTCCAGGAAGGGCTCGAAGAGCCCCCAGTCGAAGGCCAGCATGGCCTGCGGGTTGGGCCTCTCCTTGGGCTTCTTGAAGTTGTCCCTCTGGGAGCGCAGCGCCCGCAGCACCTCCACGGGCTCCGTCCTGCCCGTGAACCTCTGCACGGCCTCCTCCCTGCAGGGGGACAGAGCTGCTGAGCCCCGGGCAGGAGGGACCCCGGCCCGCTGGCATGGACAGCACGGGCTCCCACCTGGGCTGGTCCCACACCACCACCGGGCTGGTCCCACCTGGGCTGGTCCCACACCATCATGGTGTTGGTCCCACACCATCACTGGGCTGGTCCCACACCATCACAGTGTTGGTCCCACACCATCACAGTGTTGGTCCCACACCATCACCCTGGGCTGGTCCCACACCTTCATGGTGTTGGTCCCACACCATCACGGCGCCTCTGGGCTGACCCCGTGCCCGGGCAGCCTCCCCAAGGATGTCCCAGCAGGTTTTTGGGAACGGGGGGAGATGCAGGAGGAGAAGAGGAGCAGGTTTGGGGCAGGAGGGCAGCAGTGCTTACGTGAGCCGCAGGAAGGGGTTGTAGAGGAACTCCTCCTCCAGCGTGGAGGGCACCGTGGGCAGGTCCTCGTCATCCCGCTGCTGCCAGGGGAACAGAGGTGTCCAAATGTGGGTATGCTCAGCTCAGAGAGAAAGGAGAAAGATTTCTGCCAGGCTAAGGCTGGGAAAAAGTCCCACAGGAATGTAAACAATTATTATCTTTCCATTCATATTGTTTGTGATATGTTTTACCACATATGTGACATTTACCACGTTTTACCAGATATGTTCTACCACACTGCCCTAAGTCCAGTGCACCAATCAGGTGAAATGTTTTTACTTTAAGACCAATGGAATTAACGCTCACGATGTTCTCTTTAAAAGACAAAAGTGCTTTTGGATAAATGCTCATTTTGCCTTCTGAAATCATGGGAGTCATTTCGCCCATCCCTGCCTCGACAGCGTCCTCCAAATCCTGCTGCCACCCCACAGCCCAGCCCCACCCTGGCACAGGGGGCACCGCCACTTACTTTGGCCCACGCCAGCTTCTCCTTCACCTTTTCATTCTCTGGCTCCACCTTCAAGGCGAATTTCAGGTTTCTGACGGTGCATTCGTGGCCACAGAAAACCTTCTGCAGGAGGCAGCGGCGTCAGAGGCGCTCCCGGGGCCGAGCCCAGCCCGGGACCCCTGGCCCGAGCCCCCCGGCTGGGGCAGGACCCTCACCGTGTCCCTGGGCAGAGCCCCCAGGATCTGGGTGAGGTTGGTGAGCATCTGCTCCGCCGTGCCCTCGAAGAACTGCCCGCAGCCCCCCACGAACAGCGTGTCACCTGTGGGACAGGGGTGGGCACCGGGGGACCCCAGGGCCAGGCACGGCGGTGCCGGGGTCACCCCAGCAGCGCTGGGAGGGGGGACAGGCAGCACACAGGCAGCGTGTCCCCAAAAACAAGCGGGGCCACGTACCTGAGAAAAGGGCTGGAGCATCCGGGGAATCGTCCTCCCACATGAAGTAGCACATGTGGCCCGAGGTGTGGCACGGGGTGAAGAGACACCTCACCCTGATGGACCCAAACTGGGGGGACACAGGGTCAGGGTTCCACTGCGGGGGACAGATGCACCCCCCAGACCTCCCCCCGCCTCCAGAGCTGAGGGGGCTCGGGCTGGGTGCAGCTGTGACTGCCCCGGTGGCGTTTGGGGCACCAGGAGGGGGTGGGAGCCTCCAGCAGAACCCCGAACAGGCCCCGTGGGATTGGGATGAGGCTCCTGCTCCATCCCAGCCTTGAATCCACGGGGCCACGTCTGCCCCCAGCCCAGGACAGCAAGAGCTGAGCACGGCCCAGCAGCACCGGCACCACTGGGGACAGCATCACCCAGCGTGACCACCCCACTGGGGACAGCGTGATCACCCCACTGAGCACAGTGTGACCACCCCACTGGGGACAGTGTGACCACCCCACTGAGCACAGTGTGACCACCCCAATGGGGACAGTGTGATCACCCCACTGGGGACAGTGTGACCACCCCACTGAGCACAGTGTGACCACCCCACTGAGAACAGTGTGACCACCCCACTGGACACTTCTCTGGGCACAGTGTGACCACCCATTGGGGACAGTGTGACCACCCCACTTCACCCCCCACTGGCCACCCCACTGGGGACCCCAGTCCCACTGCAGCCATCAGGAGGAGCCGAGTGTGAGCTCTGGGCCCCCTCTGTTCCTCTCTGTCCCCTTTGTCCCCTCTGTCCCCTCTGTCCCCTCTGTCCCCTCTGTCCCCTCTGTCCCCTCTGTCCCCGCTGTCCCCGGGCACGCACCGCCAGCTCCTGGCCGTGGCTGACCCTGTGTGTGAGGGCCCCGACGCGCTCGTCAGCCCCGAACACCTGCAGGCCTGGCAGGAGCCGGGCCAGCTCCTCATTGCCCCTGGCGTGGTCCCTGCGGGCAGAGCAGGACTGGCATTGGCACTGGGATTGGCATTGGGAGCTGGCACTGTCCCCAAGGGGACGCGGCCACCCCCAGCCAGCCTCTCCTACCAGTGGTGGTGGGTGGTGAGGATGGCCTTGAGCACCACGTCCTCCTTCCTGACGATCTCCAGCAGCTGAAAGGGACCAGAGTGGCACTGGGAGGTGGCACACAGCCACCCCGTGCCCTGTCCCCACTGCCACCGGGCAGGGCGGCCCCCCAGAGCACCCCCTGAGGGGCCACAGGCTGAGGGTGGCACTCAGGGGACACCCCGGGCAGGGGGACGGGACCGCGCTGGCCCCGTGGCCACGGGGGCGTTTTTGGCTTTCCCAGGGAAGGCACAGAGGAGGGCACGGTGCCACCCACACTGCCAGCCACTGCAGCGCCACAGGGCACTGCCAGCCCCGGCACGGCTGCCAGGAGGCTCCGGATGCCAGTGGAGCACCCAGGGCCAGGAGTGAAGCCCGGCTCAAGAGGAAGGAAATGCCCGAGGCAGCAGCAAAGGCTGAAAAGCCACAAAAGTGCTCAGGGGTGGCACCAGGGACACCGGGCACAGCTCAGGGGTGGCACCAGGGACACCGAGCACAGCTCAGGGGTGGCACCGGGGACAACAGGAACAGCTCAGGGGTGGCATTGGGGACACCGGGCACAGCTCAGGGGTGGCACTAGGGACACCGGGGACAGATGGGGGGTGGCACTGGGGACAGCGAGCACAGCTCAGGGGTGGCATTGGGGACACCGGGCACAGCTCAGGGGTGGCATTGGGGACAACAGGCACAGCTCAGGGGTGGCAACAGGGACACAGAGCACAGCTTAGGGGTGGCAACAGGGACACTGGGAACAGCTGAGGGTGGCACTGGGGACACCGGGGACACCAGGCACAGCTCAAGAGTGGCACCGGGCACAGCTGAGGGGTGGCACTGGGGACACCAGGAACAGCTCAGGGGTGGCATTGGGGACACCGGGGACAGCACTCAGGGGTGGCACTAGGGACACCGGGGACAGATGGGGGGTGGCACTGGGGACACCGGGCACAGCTCAGGGGTGGCATTGGGGACACCAGGCACAGCTGAGGGGTGGCATTGGGGACACCGGGGACAGCACTCAGGGGTGGCACTAGGGACACCGGGGACAGATGGGGGGTGGCACCAAGGACACCGGGCACAGCTCAGGGGTGGCATTGGGGACACCGGGCACAGCTCAGGGGTGGCATTGGGGACACCGGGCACAGCTCAGGGCTGGCACCGGGTACACCGGGTACACCGGGGACAGCGGGCAGGGGGTCCCACGGCCCACCCGCGGCGCTGGGGC